CACCAAGGAGTAGACATGGATGGCAAATAATGTACACATTAGCACAGCTGTAGAAGGTGAATAAATCAATGAGGGAAGACAGATGGCCCATGGAGAATTCCAAATAATTTCTACCTTCTACATTACCTCTGTGGTCTTCTTGCCAAAAACCAATGAGCTCAGTCCAATGGCAAGAAAAACAGCAGATGAACCCCACTGAACCCCATTCCACAAAATGCCTGACCAGTACTCCTCAAAACTGCCATCACAAACAAGGAAAAGTCCGAGAAACTGTCACAGCCCAGAGGAGCCTAAGGACACATGACAATTAAATGTAATGTGGCATTCGGGATGGGATCCTAGAGCAGAAAAGGGACTTTAGGTAAAAGGTAAGGACACATTATTAAATGCTAGACTCAGGGGTGCCTGGGTGGCTCAGTTAGTTAAGCGTCTGACTTCGGCTCAGGTTATGATCTCACGGTTCGTGGGTTCGAGCCCCACGTCAGGCTCTGTGCTGACAACTCAGAGCCTGGAGTCTGCTCTGGATTCTGTGTTCCCTCTCTCTCTGACCCTCCCCTGCTCACGCTCTCTCTCTCTGAAATAAATAAAAATAAAACCATTAAAAAAATTAAAAAAATAAATGCTAGACTCTAGTTAATAACGCCATATCAATATTGGTTCATTAATTATGACAAATGTACCACACTAATGTAATCTGTTCACAATAGGGGAAACTGAGTGTGGGCCATATAGGAACTCTGTACTACCTTTACAATGTTCCTTTAAATCTAAAGCTATTCTAAAAATAGTTTATTCTTAAAATGCGATTTATAATAACATCAAAAAACCAAAATACTTAGGAAGAAATTTAACAAAAGACATGGGAAGCCTTTATGGTGAAAAGTACGGAACAGAGCTGAAACTCAAGATATGAATAAATGGAGATGTATTCTATGTTCATAAACTGGAAAACTTAATTTGGTCCAGACGTCATGTTGTTAAAATGATATCCCAATTATAATCCCATTAGACTTTTTGCAGAAATTGATAAGCTTATTCTTAAATGTACCTGAAATTGCAAAAGGACCTAGAATAAGAAAAACAGCCTTAAAGATTGACGTTGGAGAATTTGTACTGCCAGATTTCAAGACATATTATAAAATTATAATAGATAAGCCAATATGGTATTGGCATATGGGTAACTAAATAGATAATGGAATAGAATATTAAATCTGGAAGTAACCCCATATAGTATAACTTGATTTTTAACAAAAGTGCTAAATGAGTTTAACAGGCAAAAGGAATGTCTTTTCTGTACATGGTGTTGGAATACTGAATGTCCTTATGGAGCAGAAGTGGACCTTGACCTCTGCCTCATACCATACACAGAAATGAATTTGAAATAGACCATAAATTTAAGTGCAAAAGGTAAACCTGTAAAGCTTCTATAGAAAACATTCTTAGAACATTTTCTAAGTCTCTAATCATAACCAAAAAAATGGATAGATTTTACTTCATTAAAAATTAAAAATTTCTACTAATCAAAAAACCACATTAAGAATTGAAAACACAGACCGAATTCTAGGCAGAAAGACTTATAAGCCACTTACATCTGACAAAGAACATGTACCCAGAATATATTTTGAAAGCCTCCTACAAATCAGTAATAAAAGACAACAGCATTATGAAAAGAACCAACGACCTTTGCATGTTCTTCATAAAGGAAGGTATAAAAAAGGCTAATAAGCAGATGAAGAAGTTATTCATTTTCTTCCTCTTCCTCCTACTCCTACACCTTCTTTAACCACAAGTTATCAGATAAGTGTGGGTGGTGAGGCGGCCGGGGGGTGGGGGGGTGGGGTGGGGTGTAGAATCATTCACTCTGTGTTAGAGTTCTCCAGAGAAACAAAACCAATAGGGGGTGTGTGTGTGCGTGCATATATATAGAGAGAGTGTGTTTAAGGAATAGACACTCAAGATTGTGGGGGGTGGTGAGTTCTATGTCTGCAGGGCAGGCCGGCAGGCTGGGGACCCAGGGAAGAGATGATGTTGCAGTTATAGTCTAAAGGCAGTCCAAAAGCAGAATTTTCTCTTCCTCAGGGAAGCTGGATCTTTTTTTCTCCTAGGACCTTCAACTGATTGAGTGAGGCCCACCCACATCATGAAGAGTAATCTGCGTTATTCAAATGTTAATCTCATCTAAAAAAAATACCTTCACTGAAATATGTAGAATACTGTTCAACCAAGTCCTGGGAATTGGCCCTAGCCAACTTGACACATAAAACTGACCATCACATTCAGCAAAGAGCAACTGACCATAACTTCCCTAGGTGTGCCCATTGGTGATACAGCAAGGAAGGAGCTATCTCACAGTCTGTGAGATACAGTCACAGTCTGCTACACACACACACACAGGAAGAGGCAATGAACTCACCCTGCAGGTCGGCATGAAGGAGTGGAGTGTGGGCGAGCTTTTCAGGGGTCATGACAACTGAACTGAGTCTTGAAGTTTTATTGCTGTATTCTGAGCTCCTGGAACAGTGCTCGGCACATAGCAGGTGCTCAATAAATATTTGTGAATGAGGTCGGGAGCTGTAGAAAGTGAAGCAGAGTAGGACAGTGATAATCTTTGCCTGGCTAAGGAGTTGAATGCTATGGAGAGTGCCTGATGGTTTTTTTTTTAAAAAAAAAAAGCTTATCTATTTTGAGAGAGAATTGGGGGGAGGGGTGGAAAGAATCTGAGTCTGAGACCCAGAGAGGGGGTGCAACTTGCCCAAGGCCACACGGCATGCGAACAGAATGTACTAGGCCAGAGTCTCTGGTCAGGTGCTCCTTCCATGCCAGATGGCCTGTGTCCTGCTCTCTCTTGCTCTCCTAGCCAGCCTCGGCCTCAGGAAAGTTTCCAATGCCCTCTGGGCCTCTGTAGTGGGAGGTGAGCCCGCGGGCCCCCTGGCTCAGCACTGCCTCTGCGTGGGGAAAAGGCGTTGATGCTGCTGATGGGCTGGAGAGTCGGGGCCTGGGGATGGGGGCAGGGTCACCTGAGGCTGCTTCTGGGCAAAGTCCTTTTCCTGGGGCAGCTGCCCGCTATGCATGGCTGAGGCTGACCCTGAGCGGTTGTTATTTTAGGTAATCCACATTGGAGGGAGGAAGTGACTGAGGAAAATGTGAAAATGAGTAGCTATTGCAAGATGTGTGTGATAAATGAAACAGGGAACATAAAGACAGACGAAGAGGCACATCTGTTATTTTTGCTCCTTTTTATAGCAACCTGTAAGGCAGACTTTTCACACTAAGTAGGAACCCCTGAGTTCCTGAGCAGTTTCCCGGCCCCAGCGCTCATTAGCCCTGATGGGAGCAGGGGAGGAGGGTGCCTACCGATGGGGCCCGGAGAACCTGCATGAATCCCCAGAGCGGTACCCCAGCTCCACGCCCTCCCGGCGGGGCAGGAGCTAAGGTTTTGTGCAGGAGGCGGTTGGTGGCTTCCCCTCCATCTATTGAAGGGCAGAGTGGCTACCTCCATCAGCCCCTGACCCCAGGGACGTGCTTGCCCAGACTGCTCCTTGTAAGCAACCAGGAAGGGGACATTTTCATAAGAATGTAGACACAGTCCCCTTAACCTAGGGAAGTACTGACATTCTTTCTCAAGCCATTTTGCCTCTTTTTAGAGGTGTGCCTGATGTCCTCGCGCCATTGTGAAGTCAGCACTGGGACTGGCACGAGTGAGGCTGGGGAGGGGAGGGAAAAGGGATGTTCCTCTGAGCCCCCCAACCGCGCAAACCCACGCGTCACCTGGCACTTACCCCAGGGCCATTTTGCAAGTTCTGTTTGTTGGATTATGGCAGGAACTGCCCCAGCGTTGCCAGCGCGGCCAACGTAGGGCGCGACTTTGGTTCACTGTCCCGTCTTCCTGCAGGTGCCTTGTGCCAGCTCCAGGCCCCGCCCCTGTCCCGGCCGCAGACACTGCCTTGACCCTGACTGTACCACATTCTTCTGGTCCTCGAGGGTCCCACACACTCTTTGCATGGCCAGCCATTGACTCATTTGTGTCTGCAGCTATTATTAGGCACCACCGGATCCCACCCCTGCTGGTGAGGTTTTTATTAGCAGGTGCCATAAGGTTGGCATTTGTGTGTGAGTTCAGGAAACCTTCTGGCGAGGCTGAGACAAGTATGAGGATGACAGGGAATCCGGTAAAGAACCAGGCACCCCCGCCAGACAAGCGCCTGGATGGCCGTGGGCCGGAGGCCCGTGCAAAACGCCTCCCTGGTCTCAGCTCCCCTGGGTCACCAGGGCCGCACCTCCAGGTCATGCGCTGGCCCAGCCTCAGAACTCAGACTCTAGGCTTCACTGTGTCACTGGCCCGCCGCGCAGCTCTGGGTGGGTCGTTTCGCCTCAGTGCGCCTCTCGGCATCAGTCTGTGAAATAGAAATAATGAGCGTTGCCTCACAGGGCCCAACAAAAAGAATAAAAATGAAAATGCAGTGACCGTCACATGGGCCACCACGCACGCGGTGCCCGGCATGCTGCAGTACTGTGGTCTGACCCACCGGCCAGGGCTTGGGTAGGTATTAGACGGATTCGGTCTCTTGCTCGGACTCACAAAACTAGTGAGCAGAGGAGCTAAGATCTAGATCTTGATGAGTCTGGCTCCAAAAGTCACACTATTGCCACTGTGCCCAGAGGGCAAAAGAGCCTCAACATATTACTACCACCACCCCCACCACCTGCCCCCCCCCCCCCCCCCCCCCCCGGGGTTCTGAGAGGCCAGGGAAGTGACTGGACGGGGCGCATTAGACCCGGGGGAGCACGAGGCGGGTTCTGGGGACCGGCACTGTTCTCCTGTCCTTTTCCTTAGCGGTAGTGACACGGGCGTCTTCACTTCGCGATAATCCGTGGAGCTGTACACCATGATTGCGTGCTTTTCTGTACATATGTTATACTTCTTAAAAAGGTTAAAAAGAAAATAGGAACTTTGTAGCATATAGTTATTGAGAACAAATGTATTTTTAAAGTTCATACACTCTATTACTTATGCAGCTCTAATCTGCATCTATTCAAATGACATTGAAAGTTAGGTTGAAGAATCTGAAGATATTCCCGAAAAATTCTCAAGAGTCTGGGCCAAACGTATAGATGCCAGAAGTGAAACTCTGGGACTTGTCGACCCCTCTGTGTGGCCGGCTAGTTCCTGACACGAAATCCACCATTGATCCTGGGCCCTCCTTCCCTGGGTCTTCAAAGACTTTTTTGAACGGAGTCCACTGTCCCAGCCTTGGATCGCTCGCCTCTGAATAGCTATTCTGTCACAGGGGAAAAAAATGTGTATATTAAGCTTTGTTATTTGGGGGACTTCTGTACCCGACTGTAACGCCTACTCCTCCCCACCCTGCCACGTGAAAGACACGATGACTTTCCTTGTCCTCCTTGGACCACGTGGTTAACCATGGAGCTGAGGGGAGCCCATGCTTTGGCAGGTCCAAAATTGGGAAGCCAACACGTCACTCAGCACCCTGAAAGATGCCATTAACTGCTTCAAAATGGGGCTCTCCATGAAAGCTGAATGGATAACCCAAAGTCGAGTGATTTTAGGGGATCCAGGGAGTCTCCCAGTGACCACTTTCACATACATGGTGCCTGAAATTCCATCTTTATTAGTTAACTCATAAGACTATACATCTATGAGAATTCCTACTTAAAGACAAAATGATTCTAGGCGGGGGGACCATATTATATTACCTCTCACATTAGCACCAAGTCATTTATCTTAGAGGTAGAAACTGAGTTAGAGATTGTAGAGATGGATGGGCCCTTGGGGGATCATTTAGCTCATTGGTTTCCAAACTGCTTGGGCAAAGCCCTTGTGCTGCCGTTAAGGCTGAGAACGGCAGGAGGGAAGGATGGACGGCACGGAGCACCATTTTTGCTTTGAAGCCAGGTTTCGCTGCTGGAGAAATTTAAAAAAACCACATCTCTCTTTTATTTTATAGGTTCAAAGTCCATGGTTAGGAATAATCCAGCCTGGATTCAGGTGGCTAGTTAGTGGTAGAACCAGACCTACAATTCAGGTTTCTGACCCTTAAGGCTGTGCTCTCCCACTGCCTCACACTTCCTTAGGTGAGTTTCAGATGTGTGTTAGGAGATGGGATAGTGAGGCCTGAGACAGTAAGTTTTGGTAGGAGGAGAGGGAACGGGGTGGATCCAGATCTGATAGATGCTACAGAGTTTTGGGCAGCAGACAGTTCTGGGCACTCGGAGTAGTCAGCGCTACACTTGATCTTAGCCAGGCTGAGAAGCGATTGGGGTAGTCAGTGCTGAGGCGGGGAAGAGGGAGGCTACTGACAACCCTTGACACCTTCACAAACATGCTGTGACTCAACATCTGTGAAATCTCTATCTCAGGCCATTGTAAACAATGCTGTATATCTTAGAGTCATATAGCTTTATAGTTGACAACATGCTTTTATACTTAATCTCCACAAACTCCTACTTTGAGGAATAGATATTATATTTTCCAGTTTGCACGTGAGGATGCCAGTGGGTTAGAGAAGGCAGGCGTCTTTCCTGAGCTCCTGGGGCTGTGACCTAAAGCATGTCTCTGCTGACTCCACACCCTGAGCTCCTTCCTGCCATCCTGTAGCACCCTCCCCCCGCCCCCACATTGGCAGCTACTTTCTCCAGCCTGTCACAGCCTTTGCGGCCAAACACCAAGGCATTCAGACATAAACATAATCTGTTTCCACACTTGTCATTTGGCTGACCTGTTGCCTGACTTCTTTCTTTTACTAATAGCTTGGTGATTATAGTCAGAGATGCTGGCATCAGTGAACCTGTAACGTGTGTGTGTGTGTGGGGGGGATGGGCAGGACACAGGGCCATAGGCGATGCTCTTCATGGTTCTGAAACATTTCTGGGACATCATCAGGGCGCGTCTTCTCACTGTCTTGTCTGTCTGTCATCAACGCTACTCAATCGCAGTGGCAGCGCTCCATTAAAAGGAGGAAAGGAAACATAAGTGGAAAAAAATGCTGCTCTTGATGGTACATATTGGGGGTTGACTCTCCAACATCATTCCGTCTCCATCTGCATAAGCAGCCACGTGGTTTCCGGCATTGACCCTGGCTCCTGGGGAGGGTGCTTAGTGAACTAAACCAACTAGGAGCATACCATGCCCTCGGCAGTGATTGTTTCAGGGACCTCGTGTAAGCCACTCAGCACATGGCATCCCTCTGGTGATTATTACTGGTCCTGGGCTGGAGGGCTTTCTCCTCTCTGTCTTTCCTGCTATCCTCCCAATTACTGATGGCACCTATCACGTGCCTATAGGCTTCTTAGGAAGAAGCCTATGCTTGAGATGGCAGAGTAGAGGATGGGAAGAACCTGGGTTCTAAAAATATTGTTCACCCACTTGTGGATCCTGCCCACCTCCAGTTTTCCTGGTATGTGGGATAAATTTCTCTGTGGTTTGGTACTTGAGTCAAAAGATCTTAATGAACACAATGACCTCTAAGGCACAAGAATTTACTGTTTCCAGAAGTGAGATAGAGTCTCACCAAGCAACCCATCTCTGTGCTCAGTAGTCCCTGGTGACCAGGGGCATGTATTTCTGGAACAGATGGTCAGAGTGAGAGGGCACTGTATGCATGGAAATGTCATCCTAGGATCTCCCATTTGTACTTCAAGAGTAATTGAGTCTGTGCAAACATATTGATGGCGGATGACGGATTAATATGTTATAATGTATTAGGCCTTTGTAGACATACTACCTGAACACGGGGGAATGGCTTCCACAGTGGCTCTTCAGTTCAGTGGGTAGGACTTTTTGCATGGGGCTCCTCAAATCACAAGGTGTGGACCCGGGGCAGCAAACTGTAGCCTGTGGACCAGCTCCGGTCACATGTATTAGTTTCTATATTGTTTATACTTTCACACTACAACAGCAGAGTTGTGTGAAAAGCAATTGCATGGCCCACGAAGCCTACAGAATTTATTGTCCAATCCCTTCAGAAAAAAGTGTCCTGACCCCTGGCGTACAGCATTGTCTACGTGGCCTGTGAGTAATGGCGATCTGGGCAAACCTACGACGTTGCTGGACTATGACTGTCACATGAGTGACCCCACTTGTGAACGATGATCTGTTTCCAGGGTGTTCAGGCAGAATACATCAGTCCTGTTGGTTTTACAGTGTAAGTACTGACCTTGTTACAGGTACAAGAGATTTCCTTTAAAACAATCCTACTTCCACGAATTCCTATTTATCACATCAGGTCTGTATTTCTCTAGAAAACCACTGCCCATGCGACTGCCCTGAAAATGTTTGAGGAAGTGGCCAAGGTCACCTGTGGGTTTCTTTACCTTGCTCTGAGTGCAGTTCTCATCAGACATCGCCTTCATTACAGGAACGGATGACCCTTCAGGTTAAGTTTCTCTCCATCAGGAGCACAAGGATAGAAATGAAAGCGATCAGAGCCTTTCCCAAAGGCGAGGTTTTCAAAGGGAGGAGAAGGAGAGTGTTTTTGTACCCAGGAACCTGTGGAGCAGAGGGAACCCCAGAAAGTGGCAAAAAAAAAAAAATAAATAAAGTGTTCTAGAGACCAGTTCTGTGACTGCGCGGTGTGTGGTGGACCGGTCCTGACCACGCCCATCCGGTTTCCATGACTACCAAATGAGTAGGATGCTGAAGCGCTTAGTACAGAGACCGCTTTCATAAGGCAGTAATCCTGTGCCTCTACCCTCTGCCTGCCCCCCTGCGAGGGGGCAGAGCATTCCTTCTCTAGTGGTGCAACAATGAGAGAAACTGTAGAGTGGCCTGCCCACAGGGGGCGTGTGCATGAGGCTGCAGCAGAGGGGAGGGGTCTGATGGTGGCCGGGCAAAGTGAGGCTGTCACATCCATGCCTTTTCAGGCACTTCTCCCTCAAACTGCTCTCTACCAACTGAGAGGCTGTGTTTAACTAACATGCAAATCCGATCACATTATTCCCATACATGCAATAGTTCCACGGATAACATCCCAACTCCTCTACTATGGTTCCTGCCCGCTCACCCAGCCTCACCTCTCCAGCCACACTGAGCTGATGGGGCCGTGTCCCCCACTGCCAGGCTTTGTCTGCATCCCCCCCGCCACCACCACCCCGGCCTACTCCTTGGCTAATCGTCCTTTCCTGCCACGATTCACATCACGCACCACCTCGTCTGGACCCCTTCCTTGCCGTTCCTCCCCCCCCCCACCCTGCTGCCCCCAGTTGGGTTAGAGCCATACTTCTACTAGAGGTGCTCTCTTCTTCACTGCCACATACATTCCTTCAAGGGCACAGACTGTGAATTGCTGATTCTTATCTCCTTGGCATCACACAATACCACATTGTGGGCCCTCCCACCACTAAAGCTTTTAGAATCTCGGACAGAGGTGGAATGACACATGCTTTGCTGTAGCCATGGCATTAGGATTGGGAATCTCCCCTGGTGTTTTAGAAATGGATGATCAGGGGCTCCTGGATGACTCAGCCAGTTAAGGGTCCGACTTCAACTCAGGTTTGTGATCTCTCTCGGTTTGTGAGTTTGAGGCCTGCGTCAGGCTCTGTGCTGACAGCTCAAAGCCTGGAGCCTGCTTTGATTCTCAGTCTCCCTTTCTCCCCGCCCCTCCCCATTCTGTCAAAAATCAAATAAACATTAAAAACAGTTTAGAAACGGATGATCATAGTGGGCCACTCATCCTTTTTCATTTTTCAGGTACCCAGGGAATACTGAACACTTCTAAGCAGCTGTTCGCAGGGCATTCTTTTGAAATTTTAACATTATACAGACCACCAATGTGTCAAGGAGCCTGCACTGGACGGGAAATGGAAAACATTCTCTCCGCTGAATTTGTCAGAGCTCCTCCTCAAGGGGCAGAACCTGAGCCCAGTGTTTCTACCCCAGGGCTTGGCCTTTAAGGTGAGCAAAGAAGATACCATGTCATCTGAGCGTATTCAGAGTCACCTCATTACAAGTAGGAGAGCTGCTTCTGGCTACCTGTGGGAGCGTGGCATCCCCGAGTGAGGAGTGAATCTTCCTGCTCTGCGATCCTGGAACCACTGTGGATTAATAACAAGAAGCATGTCTCTACCTCTGGAAACAAACTGGGTAAATCCAGCCAGGTGCCGGACAGGAATACCCAGGAGGTGATGCTAGGACCAAAGGAAGCGGTTTCTCAGGTTGGAGAAGCGAAGGCCAAAACGTGACTTCATCACCTTGTCCAGGCTCATTTAATACGTGCTTTCAAAGACCCTCCTCGTCCTTTGTGAGGGAACTGAACAACAGGCTTAAATTTTAGTTCTATTATGTAATAATAACTTACTGAGAACAAGACGGATGGAGTGGAATACAGTGTCCGCATTTGGAGCACGCCGTAGCGAGCCCTGGCTCTCTAGATGATGAGGTTATCCCTGGGCATTTCTGTTCAGTGGCTGCAAGACACCTTTGTCACGGACCAAGTTGTCCCCAAACCAGGAATCAGCCTCCTGGAGCCCGCCTTGTTAATGCAGATATAAAGAGGCACAAGAACAGCATGTACTTATCACAAACTCCTTGAACACATGGGTGGAATGTCACTTACATAATCTGGCAGGCTGCAGTTGTGCCGTTACGGTACACACCCCGGCTTCCTTAAACCGGTAGACATCTCTAAGGTCTTTTTAAAAAAGGAATCTTTCCATTTTCCATGGGAGACAATGCTCACAGCATGAGTAATGCCCGTCAGTTATCAGTAATTTAGCAGACTGTGCCAGTGTTGACATTTGTTCTCGGCTTAATTGTGCGTGCGTGTGTGTTTTCAACAATGACGCAGCTGTCCCCGATCCTGGCAATTAGGACATAAAAATGGTGTTCGCAGAGTCTGGCAGGGTGAGCAGCAATCCATGTGTTTACTCTTTTGTTTGCAAGGCCTTCTGAGTGTTTGCTGCAATCCCACAATCGGACTACAAATTCGGCTTAAAATGGAACCTGGGTCCATATTAATAGCAACAACAGGGGCTGTAGACTTCCGAGTTTCAAGAGCTTTGGTCTCTGATTCCGCCGTATGGGCGTGTGTTTGTGTGTATGTTAAAGGCGCTTCCCGACTTGACATAAAGATGGTGGGATTTGAGACACCGTTAGGGTTAGAAGAGCCGCGTCGGCAGAGGCACACGGGACGACTGCTTGTCAATTTGCTTGATATCAAGCGACCCAAACACATTGCGCCTGGAATACTACCTGGACTACAGAGCTCTAGCTGTGGCCAAAGTCGGCAGCAGCCTTCATTGCTGGTTCCCGCAGGTGGCCTGGCCATTGAGAAGGGTCTGTACCCCGGGCTGAGCAGTTACTTTGTCTTGACCATTTTGGCTCTTGGCTCAGTGTTTTATTTTGTTTTGTTGCTATTAGATTAGCTAGTTAATGTTACTGTCAGCTAGGGTGGGGCCCAATTCCTATTAGGTCATGGCAACTTTGAATAAAATACCTATGGAAAAAAAAATAACCTGGCCCTTCAGGAAACTATTTGCCAACAATCACTAAAGTTGAGCCGTCTGTGATCCAGCAATTTAATTCTGAATACTGATAGCCAGCAGACGGGCATGCATATCTTCATAAAAAGCATATACCGGGAAGTCCCTGGAGAGCCATCCAGCGGCCCATCAACAGTAGAAGGGATAAGTAAGCAGTGCTCCAGTCCAGGAATGACATTCTCTACAGAAATAAGATGGACCCAACTGTAAGTGCATCCATAAACTAAATGATAGCACACAAAGTACTCGCTTTCCAGCACCGCGAAACAAGAGACCACAAACTTAGTGGCTGAAAACAACATACACTTACCAGCTCACAGCTGTGTGGGTCTGAAATCTGGGTTCTTGACAGAGGACCTCACATGCCGGGGTTCAGGACAGTCTTCCTAGTTTTCAGTTTGTTGGCAGAATTCAGGGTCTTTTTTGTGGTTGGAGGTCCGATGTTCCTCATTTCCTTTTGGCCTGTTAGCCAGGAGCCATTCTCAGCTCTCAGAGGCCGCCTGTATCTCTTGCCATGCGGACTCCTCCGTCCTCAAAGCCAACAACAATGAAGAACTTCCCTCGCGTCCATCTGTCTCATACTTCAAAGCTCTTTCGCCAGGAAGAGCTTAGTGCCTTTTAAGAACTCATGTGATCAGGCCCACTGAGAATAGTCTCCCTATCTTAAAGCCCACTGATTTGGGCCTTAGACATCACAAGATCCCTTCACAGCAGCACCCAGATTCACATATGGTTGAATAACTGGGAGACAGTGTGAATAGGGGAGGATGAGGAATCTCGGGGGGCACCTCGAAATTCTGCCCACCACGCCCAACAACATGGAGGGGTCTTCCAACCAACGAGGAGCGAAAGAAGTCAGACACGAAAGAGTATATAATGTATGATTCTGTTTGTATAAAATGCAAGATTAAGACGTACCGATCTTTGGGGTTAAAAGTCACAATAGTGGTGACTCTTGAGTACATCGTGACTGGAAAGGAGCAGAAGGGGAGGGTCTTGTGTGTGTGTGTGGGGGGTGATAATATTTTTGTTTCTTGATCTGTGTGCTGCTTACACGAGTGTGTTCGGCTTGTGAAATCTCAGCAAGCTGTGCATTTTTAGAATCGTTTAGATTTCTTATTTTAAAATAGATTCATTTTGTTTTTCCAAGGAAAAACCGTGCATTAAAAGACAACTATCAGAGCGGGTTACCTGATGGGGGTGGGGAATGAGCAGAAGGAAGGAGATGGGAACGTCTTGCCTGGAGTGGCGATTGATGGTACCTCGTGAACTTCACAGGTGAGGTCCAACTAAGTGAAACGTTCGTGCTCTGTCAGCTAGCACGGGTGTGCAGGACGCTCTGCCTAATTTGTGTGGCCCAGCACGAAGCAAAGTGCAGAGCCTCCTAGTTCAAAAATTATGAAAAAGTTAAAGAAGGCAAGAGTGGAGCTTTAAGCCTTGGGTGTGAGCGGGGGAGGCCCGGGCCTGCCTTCCACGAAGACTGTATGGGAGAAAATGCCACATCTCCCATTCCAAAGTCTTCCTGCCGAGGAAGTTACTTTGGGCAGCTAGAGCTTTGGTCCTTTGGATTGTAAAGTGGGTTAGCTAGAGGCCAGGAGGTGCTAAATCAATTAATATGTGCAAGAGCAAGCACTTATAAGACACCACATAAATAGAGATGGTTATAATAATGGGCCCTCTAAATGTTTATGCGTTATTTCTTCAATTGGTTAAAAAGCCTACCTATGACCTCATAGCTATTCATCTGGTACATAAACTCTTCACCCGTAGCACAGGGTCCCCTTCCACCTTGTGAATTAACACGCATTCCAAGGTATTGATGAATCCCTCATCACCAGCTCTACCCCAGTGGTCCTTGGTCTTTCCGGCTGAAGAACGAAGTACCGAAGGGTAAGGCCAGAGCCTGGGAGTCTGCACACTCTCTCATCAAAGTTCTGTTTGTTGGCTGCGTTTAGAGTCAGGCTAGTCGGGAGCCGAGTACTTGCCCTGACTCCAGAACCTCCGCAGCAGCTGGAAGGCCCGGGGAAGGGGAAGGGGCGCCCTGAAATCGTCAGCGCCGCCGGCACGTGACACCCCAGGCCTCGAGAGACTGCGGTGTCAGGATGGCAGGGCTGTCGCCCAGCCCGTAGGGCGGGGGATTAGGAAACGAGGAGCGCACTTAGGGGCTTGGATTTCTGAAGAGGCACGACTTTGGTATTGCATTTCAGTGTTTATTTTCCCTGGCGTGCACTCTAAAGCACAAACCTTTCCAGGCTTACTGACTTACTAAAGCTTTTGGGGGCCGTGGTACCCTAAGGCGGCTGGCTGCCCGACCTAGGATTTACAAGCGGTTCTAAGGATGAGACAAGGTCCCAGTGTCTTGGTGACAACAAGGTCTTTGACGAACAGCCGCGGGCTGCAGCTGGGGAGAGGGAGGAGGCCTGCGGCCGGCCGGGGTATAGAGCCTCTGAATTTTCTCCCGGCAGGAGTTGGGTGCCCGGAGCGCAGGCGGCCGCCCCGCAGGCCATCAGCATGCAGGAGCCGCGCACGCCGTCCTTGAAGGGCTGCCCGCTGACCTTGCTCCGCTCTCTCCAGAGAAATCTCCCGAGCGCAAGGACGCGGCCACCGCGGTGACTCAGTGCCCTGCGCGCCGCAAGCAAAATGCGCCCTTCCAGCACGCCCAGCTCCGCAGCGGCTTCCCCTTCCTGCCCCCTTTTTTAATTCCACGATTCCAACCCGGCGTGTTCCGCTCCACCCCTCCCCCCGCTCCGCCGCCCTCCCACCATTCGCCAGACTGTCCGGGTGTTTTGCCCCCCACCTCCCATCTGCAGAACCGAAGGCCAACCTGCGCGCTCCCTCGCTGCGGGCCGGGAGTGAGACGTGGCCGGCCCCGGCAGGGCGCTGCGCCGGGGCGACCGCTAGCGGAGCCCGGCCGGAGGGGGCGGCGAGCCGCGCTCTCGGGCGCACGGGCGGGCGGCACGGCGTCCGGGACTCGCTCGCCATTGGTCGTCACCTCGGCGGGAGGGGCCGTCCCGGGCCCGGGGCACCTGGAGTCGCCTCTCCGCCGGGAAATCGGCGGCTGCCGGGCACGGGCGCCCAGAGGTAAAGGCGTCCGGAGGGAAGGCCCGGGGCTGCGGCCGAGCTCTCCGCGGCCAGCCCTGCCCTGCCCCGCCGCCCCGGCGCCGGCCGCGCTCGGATGCCCCCTGTGCCCGCCCCGCCAGGCGGAAACTTTGCCTGGCCGAGTCCCCTGCCCGCCTGACAACGCGGAGACGCTCCTGGTCGGCGGCGCGCCCTCCGGGGCCGCGAAGCCCCGCGCGTGATTGCGGGGCCCTCCCGGCGCCCGGCGCCCGCCGCGCCCCGCCGTGCGCGAGCGGCCGCCAGGATGCGCTACGCCGACCCCTCGGCGAACCGGGATTTGCTGGGGAACCGAACTTTACTCTTCATCTTCATCTGCGCCTTCGCCTTGGTGACCTTGCTGCAACAGATCTTGTATGGCAGGAACTACATCAAGCGGTAAGAAAGTCTCAGCACGGGCAGGGGAGAGCACGGAGCCCGCGGGCGAGCCCCCGCGTGGCGGCCGCAGGGTCGGCCCAGTTGAGCGACCGTGGGTCTGCACTTGGCTTGGAGCACTGCCGCGTTTTGGGGTCTTGGCTCGCCGAAGCGCATCTCTCCTCCCAGCGGGAGAAGAGCGCCTGCCCAGAGTGGGCCAGAGGGGTGCGACAACTTTGTTCTCTTGTGAGAATGGGGGACAGGTTGGAATTCCGAGCCGCTGGGCTGACGATAAATCCATCTGAATGCCCCCGAGGAGCCACGGGGTCAAATCGGAGTCGTCCACATCTACAGTGCCGTGGCCATTTGGTTAGAGGAGAGGCTCCGGGGAGTGGACGGCTCAAAACCGAATAGGATTACCCCATGAGTCCTGAACTTTTGTGAAGGCTCTGGGAAGAAAGCATTCCCCCTCCCCCTCCCCCTCCCCTTCCCCCAGGAGCGCAGGGTTAGGTGGGGAGTGATAGGTGGGCCGGCGCGGTGCGGCAGGGACAGGGAACTTGAATAACCCAGTAACCACTGGATGTGTGAAACTCACAACATGATCCCTTCTGAAACAGATGGTTCTTTCTCAACCTTACGCAGAAGGTCAGAGCTGCAGCAGAAGTCAGCTCTCCCCTCGTTGGGCTCTCTCCCCACCCCACCCCGTCCACGCGGGAGCTCCCGTTCAGAGAAGGAGCAGTGGGAGGTGGTACAGCCTCGGTCGCTGTATGCGCGATATGCCGGCCGTTTCCTTCTGCCGGCGGAGGGGAGACGCTTCGGGTTACTCTAACTGGTTTCAGAGCTCGGGGAGAGCGCTGACCCTAGGATACTCCCACATCAGAGCCTCTTTTGGAAGTAGCCTACCTCTCCCTTGGGCTGCAGGGCTTTTCTTTGCTGCCGGTGCCTCCCCACGCTCGCTGCCCCTCCCCCCAGGCCGATGGAAAACAAGATGCCGCTCCAGCTGCACACACATCTTGTCTCCTCCAAACTTCCAGATAATAAAACGGTTGTTCTCTTTTCATCGTTTGGGGTACACATCAGTCATTTGTGCCTCTAGTTTGTGCCCCTAGTTTAGGTGATGGTGGCTGCTGGGTCTCCCGCTTTCTGGAGGGAAAGCCAAGCAATTAGGCTGTTTCGCCTTCCTCATCCCAGAGCTGGGGAGTATGAAGTCCCTTGTCCGGGACATTTGTGGACATTTGGTCGCTGCTTCTGACCCCCCCCCCCGCCCCCCAGACGGCACTGTTGTGTGACTGAAGGCAGCCAATGAGCTTTGCATGCTGGTGGGGGCTTTGGAGGACAGTTTCAGAGCCTGCTGGCGTGCCTGGGTTTGCCTCGTCTTCTGGCTACTGCTGTCCGTCCAAGATAACCCTATACAAGGGCTGCTGGGCCCCGAATGGCCTCCACCTGCTGCACTTGCTCCTCAGCGGGGTGGCTCTGGGCTCCTGCACCCTGCGGGCACCTGCCAAGTGCCACTGAGGCTGCTGGGGTCCCTGCTGTCTTGTCAACAGTGGGAAAGCCCCAGCAGCCATTGGAAACGCCAGCCCAGCTCCTCACTGCTTGCCCTGGCAAGCCCTCCCGGTGTCCGCGGGAGATGCTAGCTGCCCCCAGTCCCGCCGTCCTGCCTCCCACTCCCCCCTTGCACAGAGATCCCGACTCCCTACATCTCGGATGCCACCTCCCAGGCTGCACTCCAGAGACTTGGACTCATCCAGTCAAGCAAACAGTACCTGCACGCACCTGGTCCTGGAAGGATGCAAGGATGCTGTGGGGGTCGGTGGAGAGGATTGTGCTGTCCTGACGGCTCGAGAGCTATTTGGGGAAACAAAAGGACCACAGATGAGATACATAAGTACTAAGCGTTGATTAAATTGCCTGAGGAAGGAAGTACTAGTGGGCTGGAGTAGTTAGGGAAGACTGCCTGGAGGAGGGAGAACCTAAGCGGGCCCTTGAAGGAAGGATAAGATTTGGGTTTTTTTTTTTTTCCCCGAGGGGAAAGTACACTTCCAGAACTGAAGGGGGTGCGGGCAAAGGTGCAGAGGTGTGGCACCGCACCCTTCTACATCTCCCATGCCTGGACTACCCACTCACCTGTTCACTTTCTTGTTCCCTACACATGACCTGATGTGATGATTGGTCTGTGTCCTGTCCGGAAACACTCCACACTTGAGTGTCCCCCAGACAGAGTTCTTGGGACAGCCTCACGAGAATCACTTACGGGGCCACTGAAATGCAGATTCTTGGGCTCAGAATCTGACCTTCTGGGGATGGAGCCAGTACCTGCCCTTTTCACAAGCTCCCCAGATGATTAGTTCCAAGCTCTCCCTGCTGCTCTAGACCCACAGTTCTCTGGGCAGAAGAGCCTTCCTCCCGGGCAGTATCTGGGCACATTTTTGGTTGTCACCCAGGGAGAGAGTACTACTGGCATGTTAAGGGAGGGGCCAGGGACGCTGCTAAAGATCTGAGAGTGCGTCACATCTCCCAGTCCCACATGCCAGTGCTGAAGTGGAGAAACCCTGCTCTAGATGGAAAGCTCTGAGAGGCAGGGATTCACTCGGTTCTGTTCCCACCTGCACCCTGAGCACCAAATATGGTGCCTGGTACGTGGTAAGCTCTCAATAAATATTGGATGATGGAGAAATGATTGAAAGTGGTGTGTGTGCGCCCAGGGTAATTGGAAGACACAGTGGAGAAATGGGTCCAGCTGGTATAAGGGGGATTGTGGACAGGGAGGCCCAGATGTAATGTTGGGCGAGAAGCTTCGGGAAGGTGCTTTGTGGATTGGGAAGGACAGTTTGGACTTGGTTCATTCAGTCTTAGGGAGTCACAGGTGGTCTTGGAGGAGTGTAGTGATATGATAAAAGCCACGAGGAAGGAAGGTTCTCAGGGCTTGGTAAGGAGAGGTTAGTGATGGGGAGAGGCTGGGAGGCTATTGTCACAACCTGGTCAAAAGTGAGAAGCTGGTGCGAGGGCAGATCCACTTTAGACCTCGGGGGGTCCTGCAGGCTGATATTCTCTGCATCTGCACTGAGCCAGGTTGGTGCCGTATTCAGCAAAGCCTCCATTGTTTACCACCTCACGAAGAGCTCATGGGCACAAAGATGTCAGATGGTTTCAGTGAGAGTTAGGGACAGATTTCATTAAACGGGAGTGGGGGATGGGAGTCGATATGTGCTCTTTCTTTAGACCCTTGGCCTCTCCGTGTGCTGTGCACTGGTCACTTCTGGGAGTCCCCAGTCAGGACCCTGGGGACCCATCTTGCAAACACCTATGGTGGTCAGGAGGGGAGAAGGTGGGCAGTGCAGATGGCTCAGGGGGCATAGGTCTCTAAGGAGAAAGCACAGATTCTGTGGATTGGGAAGAACGAACATGAGACAAAACTGTGAAGTTTGTCCTCGATGTTCTTGGCTTCCTCATATCTGTTCTTGGTTGAACAAATGCTTAATGAAGAGTTGCTGTGTGCTGAACACTACACTAAATTCTGAGGACAATGTGTGCAAGACGGACACAACCTAGCGGCTCTGGAGAGCCTGCGGTCCATTGGGAAGACAGGCAGGCGCATAATACATACATAAGCCAAACTGGAGGTGTGAGCAAAGGTCTCCAGAAATGAGTAGGGAGCCATTAGCATGCTTTCAAGGTACATGGAGACATATGAAGGAAGTCTTAAAGAACGCGGAATGACTGTAGGCATAGGGGGAGGTGAAAACAAGGGAGACGGAGCCCAGCTTGAATAAGGACAGCAAAGTGCAGAGGAGAGCAAAGTAATTCTGCACAACTAGAATATCACAGCCGTACAGCTGGGGGGCAAGATGAGGCAGGCAGGGCTTGATGATGGAGACTCAAGTAGTGTGTGAGAAGAAGCATGTCTGGAGGAAGGACGGTAACAGATCTGAGTCTAGATCTGTTCAGACACTGCAAGGAGATCCACCTAGAGCGATCCCGCAGCTCCTTGGGGATGAGCTCCGGAGCTGTGGGGAGAAGAGCCGGGCTAACAGTGGCGATGGTGTAGTCGTCATCAAAATCAGCATTTTCCCACCCTTTATCATTGTTATCCACAGTAAGAAATACGCCAGGGATCTCAAACACACTGACATGCACATCCATCAGAAACAAACATTTTGTGAAACAGTATTTGGCCTTATTATAAGAAATATGCTTTGGGGCACCTGGGTGGCTCAATTGGTTGAGCGTCCAACCTCGGGTCAGGTCATAATCTGACAGTAAATTCAAGCCCCACTTCGTCTCGCTGCTGTCAGCACAGAGCCTGTTTCAGGTCCCCTGTCTCCCTCTCTCTGCTCTTCCTCTGCTTGTGCGCTCTCTCTCTCTCAAAAGTAAGCAAACATTAAAAAGAAAAGAAAAGAAAAGATGGGACACCTGGGTGGCTGGCTCAGTCGATTAAATGTCCAACTTCTGCTCAGGTCATGATCTCATGGTTTGTGGGTTCAAGCCCCATGTTGGGCTCTGTGCTAACAGCTTAGAGCATGGAGCCTGCTTTGGATTCTGTGTCTCCCTTTCTCTCTGCCCCTCCCCAGCTCATGTTCTGTCTGTCTGTCTCTCTCTCAAAAATAAACATTTAAAAAAATTTTAAAAAGAAAAGAAATATGCCTTAGTATTTTTTATTCCACTTCATTAAAAAAAATAAATCCAGCCTTAAAAAGGAAGGGAAATCTGATACATGTTACAGCATGGAGGAGTCTTGAAGACATTATGCTAAAATAACCAGGCACAAAATGACAAATATTGTATGTTCCCACTACGTGAGGCACCTAGAACAGTCAATTCATAGACGCAGAGAGCAGAATGGTGGTTGCTAGAAGCTGGAGGTGGGGTGGGAGTTAGTGTCTAATGGGTACAGAGTTTCAGTTTAGGAAGATGAAAAAGTTTTGGAGATGGATGGTTACACAATAGATTGGGTATACTTAATGTCCCTCAAATGTAGACTTAAAAATGGCTAAAATGCTAAATTTCTGTTATGTATATTTTAC